TCTCCTCAGTCTACTGCATTTTCACTACATAATGCTGGTCTCAAAACTCCCTGTACCTGCCCAACCTTTTAATGAGAAAAAAAATGAACACGATTACTTTCAGGACAGCTAACATTGTTTTTTTTTTTTCCCGAGACGGAGTCCCGCTCTTGTTGCCCAGGCTGGAGTGCAGTGGCAGTCTTGGCTCACTGCAACCTCCGCCTCCCGGGTTCAAGCGATTCTCTTGCCTCAGCCTCCCAGATAGCTGGGATTGACAGGCGCCCGCCACCACGCCGGGCTAATTTTTGTATTTTTAGTAGAAATAGGGCTTCACCATGTTGGTCAGGCTGGTCTCGAACTCCTGACCTCAGGTGATCCGCCCGCCTCGGCCTCCCAAAGTTCTGGGATTACAAGCGTGAGCCACCGCGCCTGGCCAGCTAACATTGTTAATCCACAAATAACTTCAAAGCTGCATCGATACCATTTAGGTTGTTTCCCTGCAATTAAACCATGTGAAGAGCTAGATTTACAGTTTCCGTCTATTGCAGTAATAGGAATTGGAGAAGATATTCTTCTATACAGGGTTAGGAGTAAACATATCCCCAAAGCTAAAATGTAGGACATCACTTAAGGAACGAGGTGTCTACCGAGAGTGTCCTTCCCTGAAATCATAGGTTACTGAAGAATTAAAAAGCAGAGCTAGACTATCACTCCGATAACACAAAGAGAGCAGGAAACCGAAACAGAAAGACTGGGTGATAAAGCCAATGCTAACGACATCATCCCAATAACTTGGGACAAGATGGGAGACAGCATTCAGGATTAGAAGGCCGAGATGTTGGTAGAGGGAAAGGATACGAGGCTGCGAGGATAAATTGATATAAGATTGTTGTAAATGATTTGTCATAATTTTTGCTCACCTTGGAGACGATTTAGTGCGTTTTTGACCAAGGGAAACATCGTGAAGGTGAAGCTAGAACTGCGACAATGGAGCTGCTGCTTTGGTGCAAATTCGCTTCAGGTACCCTTGAAAAGAGCTGAAAAACAAAATGGCTTTCAGCCGGGATTTTTAATGACGTTTGGTGCAATCTCGCGAGATCTGTAAAACCTATAGTAATTGCAAGCCTTTTTAACCGCGAAGTAAAAAATGGCCTTTTGGGAAATGTAGTTTCCGGCTTTATAAAATGACGTACGGTGGGTGGTGGTTAATGAAGAATGAAAGAACTCCTCTAAGCTAGGTTTAGAGCTCTATAGAGGGCAGCCGAGACACTGATCTTCGGCGGAATCATTTAAGAAACTAGGTTCAGGCCGGGCGCGGTGGCTCAAGCCTGTAATCCCAGCACTTTGGGAGGCCGAGACGGGCGGATCACGAGGTCAGGAGATCGAGACCATCCTGGCTTGCAACAGTTGGGAGGGAATGACACTTCTCTAAGTACACTAGTCTGTTTAGTTTTGACTTTTGGAATATCCCAGCTACTCAGGAGGCTGAGGCAGAATAATCGCTTGAACCCAGGAGGCGGAGGTTGCAGTGAGCCGAGATTGTGCCACTGGACTCCAGCCTGGGCGACAGAGCGACACTCCGTCTCAAAAAAAAGAAAAGAAAAGAAAAGAAAAGAAAGCTGTTAGGCCGGGCGCGGTGGCTCACGCCTGTAATCCCAGCACTTTGGGAGGCCGAGGTGGGTGGATCACGAGGTCAGGAGTCGAGACCATCCTGGCCAACATGGTGAAACCCCGTCTCTACTAAAAATACAAACAATTAGCTGGGCGTGGTGGCGTGTGCTTGTAATCCCAGCTACTCTGTAGGCTGAGGCGGCAGAATCGCTTGAACCAGGAAGTGGGAGGTTGCAGTGAGCTGAGATCGCATCACTGCACTCCAGTCTGGCAACAGAGCAAGATTCCGTCTCAAAAAAAAAAAAAAAAAAAAAAAAAGAAAAGAAAAAGAAAGAAAGAAACAAAAGAAAAGACTACATGGCAAAACCCCTTCTCTACTAATACACAAAAACATTAGCTGGGCGTGGTGGCACATGCTAGTAATCCCAGCTACTCCGGAGGCTGAGGCATAAGACTTGCTTGAACCAGGGAGGCGGAGGTTAGGGTGAGCCAAGATCGCACCGCTGCACTCTAGCCTGAGACCTATCTCAAAACAAAAAGCAAAATACATACAGTTCAGTGGCATTAATGGCATTCACATTGTTGTGCAACTATCACCATTATCCATCTCTCTAAGACTTTTTCATCTTGTAAAACTAAATGATTTGATAATACATTTTGACTATTGAAAATATTAACATTATTCCAAAAGTCAAAACTAAACAGACTAGTGTACTTAGAGAAGTGTCATTCCCTCCCAACTGTTGCATTTCATTTCCACCAATTCCTATGGGTAACCAATTTCATTACTTTCTGGTTTATCTTTCATGTGTTTCCTTTTGCAAAAATAGGCAAATACCTGTATGTTTTCTTATTTCTCTATTTTATACAAATGTAGCATAAAAATCCACTATCGTTTTACATAAGTCTTCCTCATTCCTTTTTTACAGCTGCAAAATCTGTGGTGTATATGTGCTATAGTATATTCAATCAATCTCCTATGTTGGAACATTTAGGTAGTTTCAAGAATATTTCAGTTTCGGCCGGGCGCGGTGGCTCAAACCTGTAATCCCAGCACTTTGGGAGGCCGAGACGGGCGGATCACGAGGTCAGGAGATCGAGACCATCCTGGAAACCCCGTCTCTACTAAAAAATACAAAAAACTAGCCGGGCGAGGTGGCGGGCGCCTGTAGTCCCAGCTACTCGGGAGGCTGAGGCAGGAGAATGGCGTGAACCCGGGAGGCGGAGCTTGCAGTGAGCTGAGATCCGGCCACTGCACTCCAGCCTAGGCGGCAGAGCGAGACTCCGTCTCAAAAAAAAAAAAAAAGAATATTTCAGTTTCAATAGTGCTGAAATGAGTAACTTTGTGCACACATATTTTCATATTGCTGGATGTATCGCTCCAAGGTAGGTTACTAGAAGTGGGATTGCTGGATTAAAGGATAAATATATGTGTAGTTATGTTAGATATCGCCAAATTATAGATGTAACATTTTGCCTTCCTGCCAGCAATGTATTAATATAAAGGGTGCCTGTCTCCCCACAGCCTTGCTAATAGCATGTAGTGTCAAGCTTTTGGATTTTTGTCAATATGATAGGTAAGATATCCCTTTTAAACTTTAAAATTTTTATTTTTATTTTTAAAACATACACACAGTAAAATTCACTTTTTAGTGTACAGTTCTATGCGTTTTGACAAATGCATACAATTATGTCACCACCACCACAATTAAGGACAGAATAGTTCTAGCATCATAAAAACACCCTTGTTTGACCTCTTTGTAATCAACCCCTTTCCCTAAACCTAGCCCCTGGCAGTCACTAATCTGTTCTATGTACCAATGAGTTTGCCTTTTCCAGAATGTCGTATGTCATATAAATTGAATCACACAGTTTGTCTCAGTGTACTTTTATTTTGCATTTTCTTTTTTTGTGTGTGTATATACACGGAGTTTCACTCTTGTTGCCCAGGCTGGAGTGTGATAACACGATTTCAGCTCACTGCAACCGCCGCCTCTGGGGTTCAAGCGAGTCTTCTGCCTCAGCCTCCTATGTAGCTGGGATTACAGGCCTGCGCCACCATGGCCGGCTAATTTTTATATTTTTAGTAGAGACAGGGGTTTTGCCATGTTGGTCAGGCTGGTCTCGAACTCCCGACCTCAGGTGATCCACCCACCTCGGCCTCCCAAAATGCTAGGATTACAGACATGAGCCACCGCACCCGGCCTGCGTTTTCTTAATATAAGTTTCCATAAATAATTTAATTTTTTTCACATCTCTACTTCACATCTCTTCACTTAAGAACCAGCTATTTTTCTTTCCATCCCATCTCCTTGTCTCTCCAACATACTGAAATTAATTTCCTGTTTTGTTTTTTTTTTTCCAGTAGCGCCTAAAATAATAGTCATATAATATTTTCCACACCATCAAAATGAATCCAAATTGCAGGCAGATTGATTTTATCTTGTTGGTGTTTTTCTTCTTTACAACCTTACTTTTGCACCCATCCCCCAAACAAAATAATGAATAAAAGGAAGGAATTTGCTGTCTGTACCCTGCAATTAAAGTCCTTGTTGGTGCTTTAAATAGTGAAGTCAAGGAGTTTAACTGATTTAAAAAAAAATAAAAATAAAAATGCAGCCGGCCGGCGCGGTAGCTCACGCCTGTAATCCCAGAACTTTGGGAGGCCGAGGCGGGCAGATCACCTGAGGTCAGGAGTTCGAGACCAGCCTGCCCCAACATGGCGAAACCCGTCTCTACTAAAATACGAAAAATTAGCCAGGCGTGATGGTGGGCGCCTGTAATCCCAGCTACTCGGGAGGCTGAGGCAGGAGAATCGCTTGAACCCGGGAGGAGGAGGTTGCAGTGAGCCGAGATCGCGCCACTGCACTCCAGCCTTGGCTACAAGAGCGAAACTCCATCTCAAAAAAAGCCATAAATAAAAACTTTTAAAAATAATCTTGGATGTCCTCTTTTTTCAGCGCCCCTGGCACAGTTTCTAGGACACAATAGGTATTCAACAAGCTCTTGTTCATATTTACATTTTTAAATTTCCCTCAGTGATATTAGGTATATTTTTGCTTTCCTACTTTTATTTTTTCACTTTGAAGTACTTTGGAGGCAGGCTGACGGACTAGATAGCTCTTATCCCTCGCTTGGCTAGGTCCCATTTTTCTAAAATATTACATGAAGGAAGCGAATTCCAAGAACTTCTAAATGAGCCTTTGGGTGAACTATTCCGTTCTAGCAACTTCAAGCCATTTTGGACTCAGTAACGCCGCAATATTTCACAACTGCGCATGCGTGCTTGGAAAGCGGCAGCGCGCCAGATGTATACGTATAGAGGAAGGGGCGGGTCATTATCTTTAGCGGACCAATGAAAAACCTCCAGATTATCCTTTTTCTATTGGCCTGCCGGGGCCAGTTAGAAATCAACCGTCTGTTAGCTGGCGTGTAGCGCCAGGGCACTGTGACGTAATGTGAGGGGTCGCCCGGCAGGGCTGAGCTGGACCAATGAGGAAAGGCAAGGGGTCGATTTGCCTGTTCTCACGCCCCACCCTCAGACCTAGCCGGAGCAAAGTTTCGCTTATAGAAGGGAGAGGAGCGAACATGGCAGCGCGTTGGTGGGTTTGGTGTGTCTCTGTGACCATGGCGGTGGCGCTACTCATCGTTTACGACGTTCCCTCGGCCTCTGCCCAAAGAAAGAAGGAGGTGAGGACGCGGTTTCCAGCGACATGGACTTTTCCCAATGACTGGGGCTTGAGAGGGTCTGTTCGCCTCATCCCAACCCCCTTTCCCTGCCGCTTCTATGCCTGATGGCTTCAATTCCGCGGTTTTCGGAGTTGCGGAATTCGTGAGAGAAGGAACTGTAACTCTTCGTCTTCTGGGGATGTAGAGTTTGAGAGTGGGGTAGGGTAGGTGACAGCCCGACTTCTATAGGCTTGTGAATCTGCATAGCCATGAGTTTTGACACTTTTGAGTGTGGGCCCCGTCAGGTGTTGGGGGTGGGGAGTTCGACTTAGATCCCGGGAGTAGAATATCTGAGACTCTCTACTGTTGGCAGATGTAACTCCCTGAATGATGTATAAGAGTTCTCTATTTTGTAGCATTTTCATTTCAGGAGTGTGAGAGTTAGACCGAAGAGTGAAATCATGCCAGGTTTATTATTTTGTCCAAATAATTGTTTCAAGACAATTTACCAGATTGAAAGCTCCTAACCATTTTCAATCATTCCACAAATGTAAGCATGCTAGGCAATGTTCTAGGCGCTTGGTATACATAAATGAACAAAACTAAGATCTTGTGGAATTTATAGGCTTTGGAAAGTGGAGGAGATACAGTATTCTCACCATTAAGCAATTCAAGTAGAGGAATTTTAACAGTGTGTTTTCAAACGTTCGTGATTTGGAGTCATATACTCTTAGAACTTTAAGACTACTAGCAATTATTTATACCCTCTAATTTTATAGATGAGAAAAATAGAGTCTTAAATTTAGAAAATGAACAAGGACTCAAACCCTACTTCAGTCATTCTAACGCTATTTCCTGTACATTCTGTGCTTCCTCTGTTACAGAAGAACTGTACACATACTTTAAAAATACCAGTTAAGCACTTCAGATACTTGTTCTACTTGAACTGAATTAAGAAAGAAAGCTATCTTCTCTATGTTTCTAAGTATTCGAACTATTACATAAGAAGAAAAACTAAGCTAGGAAATTAAACTTAATGAGTTGCTTATTAGATTGGCAAAGAGTACAATAAAAATATACAATTGTCAAAAATATCATGAAGTGAGCAGGCTCAGACACTGAAACTAGAAATTGATGTCCTTCTTTGGGAGGATCCTAAGCTATTATGTGGAAAACAAGATGCAGAGCAATACATAATTTTATGTCTTACAAATTTTTTATGCTGAAAACAACAGCATCCCCTATATATAAATATATGTGTATGTATAGAGAAATCTCTGTAAGGATACATGACAGTACCTTAACAGTGGCTATCTCTGGGCAATTGGGACTGTCTATGAGCGGAAAGTTTTCACTTTTTACTTTACATGCTGGTATTACCTGATTTTCCACAATGACCACATTTTTTTTTTTCTTTTTCTTTTCTTTCTTTTTTTTTTTTTTTTTTTTTTTTTTTTTTTTTTTTTTTTTTTTTGAGACAGGGTCTTGCTCTGTTACCCAGGCCGAAGTTCAGTGGCGGGATCATGGCTCACTGCAGCCTCGACTTCCTGGGCTCTAGTGATCCTCTCACCTCCACCTCCCGAATATCTGGGACTACCAGCATGTGCCACAATATCCCCGGCTACTTTTTTATCTTTTCGTAGAGACGGAGTCTCTCTGTGTTGCCAGGCTAGTCTCGAACTCCTGGGCTCAAGTGCTGCTTCCGCCTTGGTCTCCCAAAGTGTTGGGATTACAGGTGTGAGCCACTGTGCCTAGTGCATTTGTTCTTTTTAATTAAAAAGTGAAGGCTTGGCAGGGCGCGATGGCTCATGCTGTAATCCCAGCACTTTGGGAGGCCGAGACGGGCAGATCACGAGGTCAGGAGATCGAGACCATCCTGGCTAACACGGTGAAACCCCGTCTCTACTAAAAATACAGAAAAAAAAAACCACACACACTAGCGGGGCCTAGTGGCGGGCGCCTGTAGTACCAGCTACTCGGGAGGCTGAGGCAGGAGAATGGCGTGAACCCGAGAGGCGAAGCTTGCAGTGAGCCAAGACCGCGCCACCGCACTCCAGCGTGGGCGACTGAGCAAGACTCCGTCTCAAAAAAAAAAAAAAAAAAAAAAAAAGTGAAGGCTTTTTAAAACTTAACATTTCTACCAGTGAAATTAAATTTATTCATTGACTCACTGAACTGGAAGCAGAATGGCCTAGCTGAAAATAGGTTTTTTTTTTTTTTTTTTTTTTTAAGGAATCAGCACTGAATTGTATACTTTAAAATGGTCAATATGGTGAATTTTATGTTATGTGAATTTGATGTTAAGGCAATAGATGACATGCCTTCCTTGATCCTTCTGTATTCTCTTGGAAGTACATTCACCCTTTTCATGCATGTACAGGACTTACGCGAGAATATCTTCCTTTTCTCTTACCCCACCCTTTCATTCACCGGAAGATTCCTGCTCTTCAAGTCTTAACTCAAACAGTATCTTCTTTCTTCCTCGGCTAAAGTTTTCTTGGTGCCTCCAGGTGAACTGAGATGAATTCAGCACATCATTATAGTTATTGTAGGTATGTATGTATGTATTTTGAGACAGGGCCTCTTACACAGGCTGCATGCTGTGCAGTGGCATTATCATGACTCATTGCAGCCTCTACTTCCTGGGGCCAAGTGATCCTCCCACCTTGGCCTCCCAAAGTGCTAAGATTACAGGAGTGAACCTCCGTGCCTGACCTGTATTGTCCTTGTTTATATGCCAGTCTTTGCCCTAACACTGTAAGCATCTTGAATGCTGAAACTTCTTAATTTTTCTTTACCTCACATCCAGCATTGTCAAAATGTCCTCAACAAACATCGAATTAACTGTGTACTTATATAAAATCAGGAATCTGTTCTTTCTTTTTATAAATAAATAAATATATATGTGTGTGTGTGTGTGTGTATATATATATATTTTTTTTTTTCAGACAGGGTCTCACTCTGTTGCCAAGGCTGGAGTGTAGTGGAATGATCATAGCTCAGTACAACCTTATGACCTCACTGGGCTCAGGTGATCCTCCCACCTAAGCCTTCCCAGCTGGGACTACAGGCATGTGCCACCATGCCTAGTTATTTTTTGTATTTTTTGTAGAGATGGGGTTTTGCCGTGTTGTCCAGGCTGGTCTTGAACTCCTGGGCTCAAGTGATCCACCCACCTTGGCCTCCCAAAGCGCTGGGATTACGGGCATGAGCCACTGTGTTCAGCCAGGAATCCGTTCTCTCAGTTGTAGGTTTTCTTAGATTTCACAACATAAAATTGAATTTTCTCATCAGTAAGCATGTAATTTATATAGACTGCTAAAGATGATTTAGTTTTTCCTCCTTCCCTCTCTGAGAATGGTTTAGGCTGTTTTTAAAAAGATTACTATGGTACTCCTTAGACACAGTTTCAAAATATAGGTGTTCTGTTGCAGAACATTTTTTTTGTCCATTTTTGAAAACACTATTTAAAAAAAATTCCAGGTCTATCTACTATAGTAACCTTGACTTTAAATAATAGGATATTGTCTGATCTTAAAATCTATTTTTTTGCCAGGTGCAGTGGCTCATGCCTGTAATCCCAGTACTTTGGGAGGCCGAGGCGGGTGGATCACTTGAGGTCAGGAGTTCAAGACCAGGCCGGCCAACTTGGGGAAACTCCCTCTCTACTAAAAATACAAAAAAAAAAAATAGCCGGCCATGGTGGCACATGCCTGTGGTCCCCGCTACTCAGGAGGCTGAGGCATGAGAATTGCTTGAATGAGAGAGTGAGACTCTGTCTCAAAAAAAAAAAAAAAAAAGTATGTGTGTGTGTGTGTGTGTATATGTTATTTTTAAAAGATACCTCCCCTAAATGAATATGATTAAAAATCACTCAAGTTCCTCATAGTTGTCTGTTGTTAAATGGAATGCTAGCCTGCTTATTATTCATACCTTTAACAATGCTTTCATTGGAACATGGCCTTATTCTCCTTTTCACATTTTTAAAAATGTTTTGTAGAGACGGGATCTCACTATGTTGACCAGGCTGGTTTCAAACTCCTGGCCTCCAGCAGTCCTCCTGCTTTGGCCTCCTAAAGTGACAGAATTACAGACGTAAGCCGCTGAGCCCAGCCATTTATTCTCTGATATTTGTCGAATGCATTCTACATGCCAGGCACCATAGTTTATACTCATTATCTATAATCCACACATTAACATTGCAGAGTAAGCAACCCCCTTTGGAAGATGATGGGACTTGAAAGATGAGGGGACTGGCCAGGCATGGTGGCTCATGCCTATAATCCCAGAACTTTGGGAAGCTGAGGTGGCAGGATCCCTTGAGGCCAAGAGTTTGAGACCAGCCTGAACAATATAGCCAGGCTCGTCTCTGTCCACCCCATGTAGGTAGGTAGGTAGGTAGGTAGATAGATAGATAGGTAGATAGATAGATAAGGGAGCTGACAGTAAGTAAGAGGGAGGTTGGGGGCTTGCTCAGAGAAGCGCAGCTCTAAGAAATTGAGCTGAGATCCCACACTGGTCTGTCTAGTTCCAAAGCCTATGTTTTCTGCTAGGCAACAAAGGCTTGTTTTTGCAGCGACTGGTTTTATTTTATGGTGAATCCTTTCCCCTTTTTGTGGAAGGGAAGTTGTTCGTCCTCACATCTGGTGTTATCTTAGGCAGCATGATAAAAATGAAAAAGCATGGTCCTTGATAAAATTATTCATATTTCTTCTGGGAATCTATAATAATAAATAATATGAAACATGGAAAGTGATGAACACGTAATGCATACTGAAGCATAATAAAACTGGTCATCATAATGCTAGGATGGCAGATGAGTCTCCCTCCCCAATTTTCCAAAAAAGTCTGTAGTTTTAAAAAGGATATGCTTTAATCCACCCCCAATGATGTTTAACAAGTTACTCTGAGTCTCATTTTCCTCATCAGAAGAATGGAAAAAATGCTGATTTCTTTGGCTATTGTGAAAATTAAATGAGATGAGGGCTGTAAGGTACCTAATGCAGTACCTGGCATATAGA